TGACAGGTTCATGCCTGGAAATGCGTGTGAGTTTCCTTCTGCTAGGACTTTTGGGAGAGGGTTTGGGTTAACTTAGGATTTGGGTTGGCTTTGAAGTTTGTTTATGGTTAACCTCTGTGCATCATAGGTTTTAAATTCGCTTAGCAATTCCCTGTGCTTAGGATGCGAAACTGGTTTGCCAGAGGGCTTTTTTCCCTCAAGGTCCACAGTTCAGCCCTTGGGTCCTGCCTTTGTGCTGACTGAGAGAGGGTCTCTTTCCATTCTCCTGCCTCTCTCTAACCACCTCCCAACAGTCTTCTGCCCTTCACTGATGCTTTTAGCCTTTCAGCTAACTACGGTGGTGGCAAAGCCTTCACTAGGGTTCTGACTCTCAGGTATGTGGGAATTTTTTTTCCATTTCTCTTCTTCCCTCATTCAGCTGAAAGGATTTTCCCCAGTGCCTAGGCAGGACAGTGTTTACTGCCCTTCTCTTTACAGATGAAGGGTGTTGTTCCTGATGGAAGATGAAGCGAGCAGGGTCTGGGTAGAGTGGTCGGGGGTATATGCTCCTCCCTCAGCAGCTGCTGTGACCCTCTCCCAGGTCTACCACAAGGGACACTTTCTTCTTAAATCTTTCCTCACTCTTTTCTGTGGAAAAGCTCCTGGTGGGATTTGTAGAGAAAAAAGTCCCTAAGAAGACATGGACCTGCCCAATTGCTACAGCATCCAAGGGCTTCAGACTCTCTTGCCAGTACACACTTAGCCTTTGTAAATTCACCAGCCATCCCAGCTGAATTCTTTCTCCCTGGGGTAGGTACATCTGCCCCAGCCAAGCCAGGACCCACATCTTGTCTCTTTCTGCAAGAGTCTGTCTCTCCTTGGATTTGACTTGAGAGAAGGAGTTAAAGGAAATGCACAGATTTACCTTTTGTCTGGGTTATTTTCATGATAAGGTTGGGAAGGATGCACTTTCCAGCTTCCCTATCACCAAGCAAAAACCAGAAGCCAAATCTCTTCGTTTGACCATTTCAGTTGACTTTTATGTCCCATTGGGAGCACTGGCAATGCTGGTGCTCAGATGTGAATCTAGCATTCTTCTCACTACAGCCTATCTTTTCTTCCTGTCTCTATTTCCCTTCCATTCTGAATTTACAAGTCATTATAAAATATTGACTATTTGTCAACCGACCAGTTGGCAAACCCTAAGCTTGATGCAAAGACAAATTTGCAAGGGTCTCACAGTAGTTAATGCAAGCATAATTATAACAGGAGCTGTCACAGGGCACTGTGGGAGGCCAGAGCCCCTTCCCCTATGGAACCCAGGGAAGGGTGTTGCTCATACCCACCCAGCAAGTCAATTCTGGAACCTGCCTCATACTTATCAGGCCATTTTCTCAGCCACCAAATGCCATCTGACCAGGAGCTAAGTCTGAGAGTAATGATGCCACACATGGGAGATGGGGACTGCATTTTAGACTCCTTTGAGGTTCCTACCAGCAGACTTGTGGGCTGAGGGGAGGAAGGTAATCTTGATTCTCCAAAACTGTGAACTCTATAAATCAAGGTGCTCTGAAGTGTGTGATGTTTATGTTAGGTGTACTATTTAATCTGTTAAGAGGATCGACAAAGCTGACTTAAAACTTGTTTCAGGCCGGGTGCTGTGGCTCATGCCTGTAAACCCAGCACTTTGGGAGCCCTAGGCGGGTGGATCACTTGGGGTCAGGAGTTTGAGACCAGCCTGGCCAATATAGTGAAACCCCGTCTTTACTAAAAATACAAAAATTAGCTGGATGTGGTGGCCGGTGCCTGTAATCCCAGCTACTCAGGAGGCTGAGGCAGAACTGCGGAGGTTCCAGTGAGCTGAGATCATGCCATTGCACTCCAGCCTGGGCAACAGAGTGAGACTCCATCTGAAAAACCAAACCAACTAACCAACCAACCAACCAAACAGCTTGTTTCAATAATAGCCTATGTCACAGGCAAGCCTGGGCAAATTTTTTTAGAAAAATAGAACACTTTGGTTATAATTTACTAAACTGCCTCATGAAGCTAAAGGTAGAAAATTCACTAGAGCAATGGTTCATTGGCAAAATCTGTCCAAATCCTTAAGAAACACCATAATTAAATATCATTACATCTCTACTTCTAGAGAGCCTCATAGTTTGCAAAGTATTTTTACTTTCAGTATTTATTTAGTTTTTTAGTCCTCATAGCGGCCCAGAAATAGGGTAGGGCAGGGGATTATTTCTGTCTGGTTGAGACTTGGGTCTGGAGGCCAGCTAGCCTGTCTCTGAGTCACATGGCTCGCAGCCAATGAAAATAGGTGTCTGGTACCCTTGCTTCATTCTCAGTCTGAGCTGGACCAGTTTGCCTTGGGTGGCTCTGAGTGTTATTTTCCAGCTGACTTTGGATATTCTCAGGGATCTGACTTCTTTCTTAGTTCATGTCTTGATCTCTCATACTTGATTCTGCTCTTCTCACCTGACCTCTGATTCCTACCTACCCCAATTAAAACTTTTGTCTCCTCCTTTGATTAGTTTACTTGCAATTGCTCCTGGGAAATACCTTTCACACCCAAACAACACTTCTGCAATTACTGGTATTGCTACTAATATTGCTTGCATTAAGAACAATAACAACAGCAACACCACCACCAACTGCAGCAGCTATCATCTGAGTACTTATAATCAATCAGACACTGAGCTTTCCATATTTTATCTCACTGAAATTTTGAACCTCATACTATTCCTATGAAATAGATAACTATTTTCATCCCTATCATACAGATATGTCACAAAGAATGTAGGTGACCTTAGCCAGTACAGTTGAAAGAACAGGGACTTGTGTTCTGGTCCTGCTATGTACTCACTGTGTGGTTTCAGGCTCATTATCTAATCTCTCTGTACTTCACATGTAAAAAATGTGGATGATAATTTCTGCCATCTGAGGTTGCTGTGAAGATTAAATGGGAAAGAGCCTGGCACATAGTAGGATCCCAAAAAACAAAAACAAAACCAAAAAACTAGTTTCCCTTTCTATTTTAGGACTTTTATCTACCACTTCTGATTTGTGTCAACAAGGATAACCACTCTTGGGTACTGCTATGAAGTGCAGTCTTCGGAATTCCAGATGCCATTTTACAAAAAAGTAATTGTAAAAACTTTTCCTTCACTAAACATCAACTATAGCTGTATACTTCATCGAGGAAAGAAAGGGAGGGATCTTTCCTGGTGGAAGTGTAGGAAACCGTTCTAGATTTCAGGGGTGATGGAGTGTAACGGATGCAGCGATGTGTAAGCATTCGGTTTGGGATCTGAGGGAGTGACCTTGGGAACTAATTGAGTGCACAGACTTGCTCTGACAAAGAAACCCCTGTAGTGGCTGAATAATGTATAAGAGATTTCCATTGGGCAATGGGCAAAATGGAATTATTTAGCGTATTTCCATTCCAATGAGTTAATCAAGATAATTGCTGTTTCCCTGGATCGTTGTCTTTTCTTTGTAATTAACAAGGTCCTTGTTTGGAGAAAGGAATTTAGCCAGTGAACTTTATAAAAATGGCTGTGACATTTTTGTTCAAATTATATTTAAAAATCGACTACAGATCCTTTTCCTTTGGATTCTGCTAGGACTGTTAGAAACTGATGCTTGATCAAGCTTGAGAAAAACTTTAAGGAGTCAAGTTCATTTGGAATTAACAAACCCAGTGCGGCAGTGGTGTGGGGGTAGGATGCAAGGAGGGCAGCAGGGCAGCACTGAGAAAGCTCAAGCTCTGGCATCAGACTTGGACTGTGATCCCTGTTCTGCCACGTCTCACTATCAAAAGTGGACAAAGGAGCCTTCAGAGCCTCAGTTTCTATGTCTGTGAAACGGATAATAATCACCCATCCTCAGAGCTGTTGTGTGCATTCAATGCTGTGGACCACAGCTGATGCTCAACAAGGCTAGTTCCTTCCCCGCCTCTCACATGCTTATCTAATGGTGACATATTCAGCAATCTCAGTCGTTTGAACCATGGCTAAGACCTCAAAAAGCAGCTTAAAAAATCTAAGTAGAAAAGGAGATGTTCGTCCATTCATTAAAATATCTCCTAGAGGAACACCCCAGATAAATATATTTAATTGTGGCTAGGATTGTAATAAGCTGAACTTCTGGTTCTCTGACCACACCTCTTAAGAAGTCCTCTACTGGATGAAGAATAGAGAAATGAGCTACTTGAGGTGAGCACTAGGACTGAAATAAACAGTGACACCACAGTGCAACCCTAAGGGAGGAGGCAGAGAAACCTTCCCTTTAGATACAGGGCCTAATAAAGCAATGGTTTAAAATCACTTCGGGCTGGGGCAAAGGGGTCTATATCCTCATTTCCCCACTTCCTGAAAGCTCTCCTCATATTACAGCATAATATGCAATTGTTGTTCCTTATTAATGACCCTGAATCATAAAAAGAAAGGTTTCATTATGTCTATATAGTGTGTTTGAGAAGGGAAGTATGCAATACACTTCATAAGAAAAGTTCCATGCAAAATGGTTAAAATGAAAAGGAGTTTTTTTTCTTTTTTTTTTTTTGAATTTGAAGATGTGAGCTGCAATTATGTGGAAAATTCATCCACATGTGCCTGTTCCTTCTCCCCTTGCCACATTTCTGGACAGTGGTCATATGAAGATGCTAGCACTTCATCAGGTAAGTACTTTTCATCTGCACCATCTCCCTGTGGTATGCTGGGCAGGTATCTGCTGTATCCATTCTACAGATGTGGAAACCGAGGCCAGGAGGGATTAAGTCCATGGGAGAGTGGGAGCTGATGCCCAGCTCCTCTGACTCCAAAGCTTATGCCTTCTCCGCTAGACCATTTCCTTCCTAGGAGAAATCATGTGGAATATGAACATGTAGAATGTATTAAAGGTAATGGTTTTTATCCCAAATCCTGAATTAAAACAAAATACTCCATCACTTTACCTCTAATCCTACAATGAATTAATGAAACAAAATCATCAAATGGCGTTGTTTTGATACTTACTCATAAAATGTTGTCCATCCGTTTTCATTGCTTTTGGTTGCCAGAAGGCCAGAATTACCATGGTATGTCATCATGGCCAACTCGTGTCCTTGTGTGGTCACACTCTTGAGTGCACTGTTAGTGCCCATGGTCACCCAGTATACCTGGCCATCTGGGACCACCAGCCAAAGGGGCATCCCAGTAGAGTCTCGGCGGACATTTACCATGTTGCCGTTGTTGTCTGTGATGAGTGTGACGTCGCCATCCCCAGTGTAGGTGAAGTTGTACAGGTAGTCTCCTGTGGGCAGGCTTTGGGTGTACAGGTGCTTGCCAGTGGTATCAAACAGATAGAGCTCTTGGTCAATTGGTGAAGACAGCTCATACATGTTCTGGGTGTTGAGGAAAGGCTTGTTCTTCCGGATAAACCGAATTCGGATGTTCCCAAGGTCAGCCACATAGAGCTCCCCATCAGCACACACAGCCAAGGAAGACGGGGTATTTAACTTTGCATCCTTGGCATAACCATCATCTCCAGAAAAACAATCACAGTTGGCATCATTTTTACAGTCACAGCCACTGGGGGCCCCAGCAACTAGTGAGATCTCTCCGCTAGTGGTGACCTGCCTGATGCGGTTGATCTTTTTCTCATCAGTCTCAGCAATATACAGGACCCCATTGTGTGAAACAGCCAAAGCGGTGGCTGACTCCAGGGTTGCGTGGATGGCCACCTTGCTTAGCAGGAAGTGGTCAATGCCAGGGACCTGGCAGTGCATGGGCCTCCCAGCGACAATGCGCACCTGGTGGTTTTCAGAGATCTGCAGGACCACATTGTTGTCGAGGACATAAAGTGAGTTGTCCATTGGGTTGATGGCTAAGTCTGTGGGCCACTCCAGGCGAACCTGACAATGAAGACACCGATACTCAAAGGACTGGCAAGATGCCCACCACTAATCCATCCCATAGCCCATGTAGCCCATAACAGTGTCCAAAGTGGCTTCATATACAGTCTTGCTTGATCCTCATGCAGCCTATCATCAACAATGAAGTGTCAGCCCCCTAAGCACTGGGAAACCATGAAAGAGCTGCCACTGAGACATGTGATGGTCTCATTAGACAGACAAAACATGAAGAAGGAGTTAACAACAACAAAATAGTAGGCAAAAGGGTAGACTTTGGAGTCAGATAGGCCTGGGTTCAGAACCTAGTCTACTACTTATGACTGTGGGCAAGTTACTTTGCCTCTCTGAGGCTCAATAGTCACATATGGGAAATGGGAATGACAACAGCACAGAGTCCCTGACCCACCAGAACCCACCAAATAATGGCAGCTGGTGTTCTAGAGATGGGAGGGAAAGGCAGATGGAGTCTGGAGGCTGAAGTAGGAGTTGTTCAGAGGCTTAAGAAAGATTCTTCCTGCATGGTTGATACGATACATACATGATTTCTCAATTCTTTGAGTCCATGGATTAACAGCTGGCTAGGTGCTAGAGATATAAAGACAAGCTAACCATGGCCTCTGTCTGTCATAGTTCTTGACCAGTGATTCTGAAATCTAGCCTCACATTCAAATTATCTGTGGCGATTTTAGAAAATAATGGTGTGCAAACCCCACCCTTGATGAGTGAAATCAGTTCCCCGGGTGTGGAGCTTGGGCATTGGCATTATTTCAAAAAGCTTCCTGAGTGATCCTGATGTGGGCTTGAGAATCATGACTGGATCCTTGCTCCTCATGTGTGGTCATCAGCATCAGCTCACCTAGGAGCTGAGCATAAATGCAGAAGGACAGCCCTCCCTGAAACCTACTGAATCAGTATCTGCATTTAAGCAAAATCCCCAGGTGACTTCTGTGCACACTGAGGTTTATGAAGCCCTGCTCCAGAAAATGGTTCTAGTACCTCAGAGAACAGGTCCACATGGAAGGGATTACTGAAGCTGGTTGTAGGAACTGGGAGTTCAGAAGTGCTGGGCCCCAAGTGGAGCCTCCTCTGAGCCAGGCTGGGAAACTGGCATAGGTCATGGCGGGTCTTCAAGTGGGCACCCAGGGGACTGCAGCTGGCATGGTCTGAGGAGAGGAGTGTCTTCTTCAGTGGACTTGGAGACTGAATTGTTGGATCTATCACACTAGGAGGTATTGGCACTAAGGGGAACCCTTTCCATCTGTGTCCCTAGGAGGTCCAGCTATGTTTTGTGTGGACTGGAAGTGCTGACAGGTGCACCCTACTGCTGATTTTTCCACCCCACCTAAAAATTCATTGCCTTAGACTTCCTGAGCCCCATACAAACCCTTGATATTTGGTCCAATTTGGGGCTTGCTTAAGCAAGTGTATACCTTTATTTTTATTTACTTATGTCTGATGACAGGGTCTCACTCTGTCACCCAGGCTGGAGTGAAGTGGTACAATCTTGACTCACTGCAGCCTCCACCTTCCAGGCTAAAATAATCCTCCCACCTCAGCCTCCCGAGTAGCTGGTACTACAGGCATGTGCCACCATGCCCAGCTAATATATATATTTTTATAGAGACAGGGCTTTGCCATGTAACCCAGGCTAGTCTCAAACTCCTGGGCTCAAGCAATTTGCCTACCGTGGCCTTCCGAAGTGCAGGGATTACAGGTGTGAGCCACTGTGTTTGACCTAAGTGTAAGCCTTTAGATAAGAAATTTCTCTTCCAGGAATTTACTTGTCTGCACCATTGTCTATAAGAGTGTTTTTAATAATGATGAAGCCATTTTTAATAAGGACAAAGACCGAGAACCAACTCATGCCCAACAACTGAGAATTGGCTAAATAATAGTACATTTAGTTTGCTCATAAATTAGAATACTGTGTGTAGTTGTTAAAAGTGATGTTATAGATGGATATTTAATGACATGGAGAAATGTTTGCTATGTATTAAGTAGAAAGAACAGGGTTACAGAACTGTAAGCACAGTGGGATACCAATTGGGGAAAAATACAGGAAGTTTAGCTAGATTATAGATAAAGAGGAGATTAAGTGCTTGAGGGATATATATCAAAACGTTAACCATACCAAGATTAAAGGTGATTTTAATTTCCTTCTTTGTGATTTCTAACTTCTTATATTTCCTACAATGTACATGTGGTAGTTTACCAGTACAAAAAGAAACCCTAATACATTATATACACACGAGTGAGGCCACCTCCATCTGTCCCCTCAGCTCAGGGACATTCTCAGAAGGGGGCAGGCCCTTTCTCAGTTCTTGAAAGCATGACCTTCAGGTCCTGCTTTCTAAAGTCTTCTTGTCCCCTTACTCCCAGCTCCCTCTGTCCCTGCAGAGCCAGGGAGCCTGAAAATTCGCCAGGGCTGCTGCCAGCCAGGGTTGCTGCTTCACACTCCCCATGCTCTCTGGGCAGCTTTTGGCTGCATCAAGAACACAGTTGGCTCTAAAGTGACAGGGGAATTTTCAATTTCTTAAAACCCACTTCTTGTCAATGCTGGCCGCTAAATATTTTATGCCTTCTGGTCCTGTGGCACCTTGGGGACCTGCTTGCGGAGACCTTTCTGCCTGTCGTTATGATGAAAAGATGGTTCCTTGATGGGAGGAGTGGGGGAAGATAGAGTTAGTGGAGGGAGACTGGAGAGGAAAGAGAGGAAGGAATGAAGAGCAAGTGCTTTCCTACACTTTCCCCTTATGCCATGTGCAGGGTGCCTGGGAAATGAGAAGGGGCATTGCTCTTGGAGTCAATCCTCACTCTGTCACACTGCCTGTGTGATGATCCTGCACCAAACTACCTAAGCCTCTCTGGTTTCACCACCATATTAGTGATGATCGTGTTGAGACTTGATTTCCCATCCCTAAAATGAATGGACTAGACTTGATAATTTCAGAGGTCTTGCAGCTCCTGTGTTCCATGGTTCCAGTGTGGAATGATACCCTCTTCCCTGTCCACCTGAGCATCCTGTGCCTTTGGTAAAGCACTTGGAGCTGGCTGCCTTGTTGCAGAGTGATTTTCTTGCAAAAATGGATTGTCAAATGAATGAATGAAGGAAGGACCAGCAAATGGTATAGAGAGAGTGAGAGATTGGGGTCAGGACACTTCACTTCCTATTCCAGTTCCACAATTGCTACATGTGTTACCTAACCCAAGTTACTTAAACACCAAACTTCTTTCTCTATATGTAAAAGGGGATAATACACATTACATAAGGTAGTTGTGAAGATTAAATGAGACAATGTACACGGAAGTTATCTGTGGATTTTAAAGGGAACTAGTATTCACATCCTATTCCTAGTCGCTGGGCACTGTACTAGATAATTTATGTACATAATTTCATGAAAAAATTCATTTCCATATCCCTGATGGAACCTGGTACAGGGCTCTACATTTAAAAATGCATTTTCTTTCATCACACCTCACTATTCTTATCTATAAAATGGGGTAGATCAGCTCTACCCCATGAGACTATTGTGATAGCTAAGTAAGAAAAGAGACGTTGTACTTATCCTGTACCCCCATTTCTTACAGAGTGCCTGGCACATACTAAGTTCTTATTTTGGATCCTAAGCATAGAGTTATTCTCCGTCAGTGGTGGCCATCTCCACTTCTTAACATGTTGCAACAACTTCCTTCTGTTCCTTCTCTGCTCTGTGCCTCTCTCTTTAGTTTCTTTTTGGGCCTGGGTTTGTCTCCTCCCAAAGGAGCTGGTCCAAGTTCCTTGGCTCTCACCTTCTCACTCATGCCTCTGAGCTGTGTGCTGTCTCTGGCTTAACTCCCTGCTCCCCATGGGGCAGTAGAATAGAGAGGAAGCTCTGAGAATGAAAGCCAGTGACACCTGCGCATATGTGTCTGTAACATAGATGCCAGTATTGGAGAGTTTGGTTAAAGAAGATCCCATGCTGACATTCAGGCAAAAGTAGTGACGGCCAGGGGCATAGAGATTTCAGTCCAGGATTTCTGAATCTAAGTGTGGGTTTGAGCATTTTTTCCCCCTGCACCATATGCCAGTTGTCTTTCAAGCCTCTGATCCGACTGGTTGGCAGTACCTCTATCTAAAGTTAAACAATTTTCCGATGTGTGGACTGAAAATTTTCGGCACCCTGTGCTGGCTGGTTGAGGGCCCGTTTTGAGAATTGAAAATACTTGTATGCACATCCTTAGGCCATGGTGACTTCCTGATGGGTAATTCAAGCTTGCTCACAGACCGGAGAGGGAAACTCACTAGCCAGCAAGGGTAAGCCTGCCAAAACTGCAAAGACGAGTGGCAGAGAACAGCTTCCATTCTGGAGTGTAACAATCATATCAGCTGGCGCAAAGGGAAACCATCCCAGCATGCGACGGGGAAGTGACATGAGTGCTGGGACCGCCAGCAGCATCCACAAGGCTCCGTGGAAGGACTTAGCAATACATGTCAGTAACAGAGGCAGGCATGACCAGAAAGGCTGGCAGCAGGTGTCACACTCAGTGGAAAAGGACCTGTGTGTGCAGGCTCCCCTAAAAATGAAGGGGTTTAAAAAGCTAAATGTTGCTGGAGCTGAAATCAATTTGCAATTTGATATAACTCAATGCTCCTGATTTCCCAGGTTTTGGTAATCTTGGCAAGATGCAGCACAGGACACTGATTCAGCATGGGCTTGGCTCGGCCAAAGGATCCAGCAACAAAGGACATACCCTTGCCAAGTCATCACAGGATGTACTAAGGACATGCTGGATAGCCATGTTGTGTCTCTTTTTGACCTACAATGGGTTCCTGGTATCCACCTGCAAATGTCCAAACTCTTTGGCATGGTACAGCAGGGTCCTTCCCTACCTGGACCAAACCTGTTTTAACTGCAGCCACCCGCTTCCAAGCACCCTATGCTATGGTTTTCAATTTTCCACTATTCTTTGAGTGTACCAGCCTCATTAACATCTTTGTGTGTTTGCACGTGCTGTTTCCTTTGTGTGAAATGTCTCCTTTTCTTTCTTGTCACTCAGCAAACCCCTATTCTATTCAACCTGTAAAACTCGCATAAATGTCACCTCCCGTGTGAAAGCAGGCACTCTATCTTTTGTTCATCACCTCTGAAGGGCCAAGCAATGCTAGAAGTTGTGCATGCATTGTTTGCTGTATCTTTAGAGTAGTCCTACTGGGCTGAAGTGAATTATTTCCATTTTACAGATATAAAAAGTGAGGCTCAAAAGACTTTAGAAAACTTGTCTAAAGTTACTGAGTGAGTGAGTGGCAAAAGGTAGGATTCAGTCAATCGATTAATCAATCAGCAAGTATAGACGGTGCCCAAATTTGGGTAACCAGGTATCCTAGTTAATTACAGAATTTCTGTCCTCATGTAGCTTAGAAAGAGAACAGGCAATGTACAAATACTCATCAGTGTTATTACCAAAGACGAAATTCAGGTGGCAATGGATTGAATGTCACGTGGTGGAAAGCTCTGTCTATCCTACTCTGCTGCTGTTGAGGTTTCCTTGGGGAGATTTCTTCACTGTCCCCTGAGCTTCTACTTGTTACTCCTGATGGTGAACTTCCAGGACATGGCTGTGTCTTACTTATCTTTGTGTCCTTGGTTCTCATCACAGCCTGGCACCAAGTAGGTGCTCTTTAAAGGCTTACCAGTGCAAAGGTGAATGGCCAGCAGGCTGGCTGGGTGGCAGATGAGAGGATGAGTGGGCAGTCCCAGGGCTCTGGTAGATGAAGCCATCTTACCTGGGAAATATCCATGACAGAGTCACAGCTGAGGGGCCGGGCTGATGTGAGATCATTGGAGCCGAGCAGGGTGGAGATGATCCCATTCTGATCGATGCGTCTGATCATGGTGCCATCCACGAAGTAGATCAGCCCAAACTTGTCCACTGTGATGCCTGGGGGCAGAGAAACCAAAACAGGAATTCAGCATCAGAGATGACAACGGCACGCACATTCCTGGAGCCTTGCTAGCTGACAGCACCTCTACGTGATTGGGTTTGGTCCTCCCACAACCTTCATTCCTCTCTTAAAGATGAGGAGTCTCAGGCTCAGAGGCCTTGAGTGACTTGTTCAAAGCAGGGATTAGAACCTAGGTTTTCAGATCTTCCGGGGCTCTGGTCCTCCCACCTTGCTGCCTCCTGAGATCTTAATCTATCACCTTAGTCATCCACTAAACCTGTCATAACTTCTGGAGATTTTTAAGCAGTAGGGATATAGTAGTAAGGAGGATCTTTTTCAATATTAACACTGTGAGTTATTTAAATTCACCTATTTCTGAAGCTCTGTAATTATAATAATCAGTTTCCCTTTTGGTAACCATTTTTCCCTTCCCTCCCTCCCTCCCTCCCTCCCTCCCCCCCCCCCCTCCTTCCTTCCTTCCTTCCTTCCTTCCTTCCTTCCTTCCTTCCTTCCTTCCTTCCTTCCTTCCTTTTGAGAGAGTCTCGTTCTGTCACCCAGGTTGGAGTGCAGTGGCATGATCTCGGCTCACTGCAACCGCTGCCTCTCAGGTGCAAGCAATTCTCCTGCCTTAGCTTCCTGAGTAGCTGGGACTACAGGCACGCGCCACCATGACTGGCTAATTTTTTTTTTTTTTTTGGTATGTTTAGTAGAGATGAGGTTTCACCATGTTGCCCAGGTTGGTCTTGAAATCCTGACCTCAGGTGATCCACCCGCCTTGGCCTCCCAAAGTGCTGGGATTACAGGCGTGAGCCACCGGGCCTGGCCCGTCCTTCATGCTTTTCTATTCTTATTATTTTAGTCTCATTGATCATTACGAAAGTACAGAATCTGAATAGAATCCTATGGATGTGTGGAGAGAATATTGTTGAACTGAATTTCTAAAGGCGGCACACTGAGGAGAGGAGTCAGAACCATTACTCAACATTACCTGCTCCATTTACTAGACCGTCTCATCCTGTTAACTTTCTCCCTGACCCAGCTTGTATGTCCTTGGGCAAGTCACTGAGCATCTCTGTGTTTGTTTTCCCAGCTGTCAAACAATGAGATTGTTCCAAATCTGTATTTCTCACTCTTGGATGTGTATGGGGATCCCCTGGGGAGCTTGCTAAACTGCACCCCCCAGGTAGCTGATTCAGAATATCTCAAGTGGAGTCTGAGCTTCTATCTGCAGTTTTGACAAGCACCTTGGGTGATAATGACACAAACCAGAGTATGAGAACCACTACACTATATCAGTACCTCTCAGCCTGTGATGTGCATCAGAGGCACCTGAAGAGGTTTTTCAATATACACCTGCTGGCCTAACTCCTAGAAATACTAATTCAGGGGGTGGCTGGGACTGGGACCAGGGCATGCTTTAATAGTGTTCATGAGTGATAGTAATTTCCATCCCAGGTTCAGAATTGCAAGAGTCAGACATAACCATGAACTGTCATGGGATACAGGTGGGACATGGCCCCAGGGAGCACCCAGTTTAGAATGGAAGGCACAGGAATGAATCAGTACCATGTGAGGATCACAGGAAAGGACAGACTTGAGAGGGTCATGGTAAAATATAGGAGATTCTGGTCACTTTTGTTCTGCTACGTTTTCTCTGGGGAAGGCAGTGGAAGAAAGGTCAGGAAGGCTTCAGTGAAGTGGAGAGACTTGAATTATAAAATTTTCTGGTCATATTAACTTGGGCATATTACTTCACTTTTAAGTCTTTGTTTCCTCATTGATAAAACGGGGATTCTAACATCTGACTTGTAGTAATTAGCCCTCAATAATTATTAATGACCATTGTAATGATGAGACAGTGGCTGGCACTTTGTGGGTTTCAAGGCCTTTGCTCTGGGGGCCCACGTGTCTCTCACTGGCAAGCAGGGTGCTTTAATATGCCCAGGGGCCTCTGAGTGCTGAGAACCTGCTGGAGCACCAACTGTTCCTTCTTAGGCTGGTCAGGCAGGAAAGTGATTTCACACAGAGGATTAGGCAGCCTCAAGACTGGGAAGGCTTTCTCACGGTCCTGTCTTGAATGTACATTAATTTCATTCTTTAAGTGCCAAGACAGGCATTTTCTTGTCTGCCTAGCTGTGCCCCATCTTTCTCTTCCATCTGTTCGGACTGATGAGTGCTCCATGAATAGTTGGGTTTCTTGTTTACAGAGTTGGCTGCACAGGCTAATAGAAGTGATCTGTCCCCGATTAATTACCTAAATTTTTCTCCTTTTGTTGTGTTAAATAGATGGACATCTTTTCTCCTCCCTGCTGCAAAGTACCTGCATATCGTGTCACCCTTGTGATTTCTATCTGGGTTAATCACAGACTTTTGGGTAAATGCACTGCCACTTCATCTGTGTGAGGGTGAGGGGCTGCGAGGGTGGGGAAGAGAACACACATGTGTGGAGAACAACTGAAAAAGCCCGGGAGAGAATAAAAATTCTCAGATAAAACTGTTTTAAACCTAAGAGAGTAGAATACTGTGGCTACAAAGGGTCTTGGGGATTATTTAGCCCAACTTGTTCATTCATTGACCAATGGAGAAACTGAGGCCCAGGGGAGGAGGTCCCAGAGCCAGCTAGTGGCAGAAGAAAACCATACAGGACTTCTAAGTGCAGGCCTAGAATTCTTTCACTCCTGGCTGCTCTCTCAGTATTTGGAAATCATAATTAGGAGGGATTAACCTTTGTTGATACAATATTTACCCCACACAATTACCACCTGACACTCCAGGTATGTGGCAGAGACAATGTGACATGATATGATGTGATGTGATATAATGGAACAACAATAACAGGAATCATCATTTATGGGATGTTTACCATGTGCCTGGTACTACTATGCTAAGCATTTACATTCCTAATAATATTCAATCTGTACCACAACTGTGCAGCATATCCTTATTACATATATGAGGAAAATGAGGCTCAGAGAGCTTCAGTGATTTCCCCACAGTCACTCAGCTGTAGATGACAAAGTCTGAATTTGAATGCCAGATTTCACTAGAATCTCCCACTTTGATTTGAAACTAGGCCCTGAAATCTGGAACTATTTAATAATACAATCACTTATAATGTTTCTATAGGTTATTATTAAACATATTAATTTTGACCATCAGAATAAGCCTAAGAGGTAGACACTGATGGCATTGTTACCCCATTCTATCAGTGAGGACCCTAGAGCTTAGACACTGTAAGTCACTGGCTATAGGGGTTGCAACACAGTGAACACTCCACTGAGTGTGGACAATGATGGCTTCTCCAAAAAGCTTTCCCAGTCTCCAAGGCACAGGGGTCTCTCTTGGCTCTAAATCCCCATGAACAGCCTCTTTCTTCTTGCTTCTCAGGGAGCACCTCTTCCTCTCGCCCATGTCACAGTAATTCACACACTCAGGTCTTATTTATTCTGCTACGATGAACTTATATATGTAACCATTGTACTCTATGTACTCAAATATTTGCTGAATAAGCGAAGGAAAAATTGTGATTGCAGGCATTTAGAGGTTCAACTTTTTCAGGGACTCAGAATTGAGACCTACAGTTAACCCACCCAATAGCACATCAACATATGAAAACATGATACACTAAAATGTTTTTGTATAACAATAACATGAGAGACAGCATACATGTCCAATAGTAGAAGATTGGGACATCTATTTGCTGGAATACCATATAGTCACTAAAAATGAGTACACATTTAATGACATGGAGAAATGTTAATGATCTAGCATTTAGGGAAAAAAAGCAGTTTGCTAAAACAGTTTGCTTAATGTGATCTCATTTTGTTTGTTTTTAGTAAACACTACATATACACAAACACTTTGAAAAAAGACTAGCAGAGAAGACAGGAAATGTTAACTGGGAGTATTTTTGGCAGGTGGAATTTTCAGTTTTCACCATCCTCCATACATTTCTTGGTATTTTCCAAATATTTTTGCAATATTAATCATGCATATTTTTCTGAAATGGAAAATACTCCAATAAATGTTATTGATAATATTTCTAAGGCAAGGTCTTACCCCTGGGATTGGTGAGTGTGGCTTCTGTGGCCTTCCCACCATCCCCGCAGCGAGTGTCATCAAAGGGGAGGCACTGGTCACCTGTTCCCGCAACCACCTCAGAGTTCTTGACAAGGTCCTTCACCACCACAGTGGACTTGATTTTAAAGACCCGCCGGCTGTTGGTGTCAGAAAGGAAGACGGCGCCGCTCATGGGGTCTGTGGTCAGGTAGTATTTGTGTGCTGGACTGTGACTAGAAAACAAAGACATGGCCAACTGATGAGCATTTTCTTCTTTCCTATGTGTAGCTGGAGATGTGCAGATGAACCCCTGGCCCTTTAGAATCCAAAGCAAAAATGTCTTATGGGGATGATGCCCCTATTTTGGGTGATGGTTCCCCATTTTTTCTAACCTCAGTCATTGGCTTAACTATCCCTCCCACCCACTATTCTTGCAAAAACCCACTGGCAATGATTGAGATGACCATCTCAGTGCCATGTTTGTATCAGGTGCTAAATACATGTTTTCTTAAGAAGATGACCACTGAAGCCTACTATAGGTGTCCCGTTCATTCAAGCTAGAAACATGGATGCTCTTGACCTTACAAAAAACACTTCAAGAGTTCAAAAACACAAGCCCTTTTCCACAGGATTTTTACAGCAATCCCTCATCTCCATCTTGGGACTGAGGGATGAAACCCTGGCTGGCTCTGACTCCTGGTCAGCATCAACACCGTCTTCAGTGGATACTCATGTTACACTTATCAGGAGCCCAGGAGTCTCCCTCTGGCAGTCAGATATAAATGAACTGCAGGATTAGTTTGTAATTTGCAGTGAAACCCAAGGAAAAAAAGCAACACAGAAGAGCAGTGCTAATGATGGTTCTGTTTCTGGAAAACAGTTATAAAGAGCAGGCTGTGCCAACAGAGCAGAGAGAAGTTTGACTACAGAGAGGCCTTCAGGAGACAAAGCACTGCCTCTAGCCACAGGGTGAGGAAAAGGCACAGGATTTCGAGTCAGATCGGTCTGGGTTCCAAGTCTAGCTCTGTAATTTCCTGGTTCTGCAACTTGGGCAAGTTACCAGGTCTCCTGGGTCTCGAATTGTCTTTATGTGCAAAATGGGGGTGTTAACAGCTACCTTGCCGGTATATTGGGGAGATTAGAGAGAAAATAATAAATGCAAAGTAGCATAGTGTAGTAGATGCTCAATAATAATTATTTTAATTACCAATGATTGTGTCTCTTCTTGTACTTGGAGACGACTATGTAGTAGATATCTCTTATTAAGCCTGAATTTTTTTATCCCCTGGTACTGATATATAATTTCTTTCAAGTCTAGGGCACATTGAAGTTGAACTTAGTGCTTCTGAAAAGCTAATTTTAAGTTCCTGTGCATGGCCTGAACATTCGCTGGGCCCTAAAACTGCATCTCAATATTGGCACCCCCTTCCAAGTCTCCGGAAGGTATTTTGATTCAAAGGAAGCTCTCTCTGTTTGGACTGGATGGCCTGGTGCTGGCCATTTTCACTGCACAGTGAGGTATAAACTGTGCTAAGGGACTCAGGACAGACTGAGCAGTGATGAGAGCACCAGCAGAGCCGGAGCACTGCAGACCCCCTTCAAGACGAAAGCAAGATAATTTGAAAAGTCTAGAAAGAAGCTATTTTGCATGTATCAGGTATGTAAGTTTTGGGTCCTTTTGAAAAGCAAAATTTTATTTTACAGATTGGTGTTTTTTGAATTCCCTATGAAGACTGGGGCACCATAATCTTTTCAGTACGTAAGTCATGGAAGGTCTTAATCTGACCCTGGCAGGTTTGTCATTATAAATGTGTCTTGCCTTGGACAGTGTCCTTGAGGACTGGCTACCTCGAAAAGGGCCAGCCATCCAAACCCAAGGCTTTCCTTCCTTGGTTTTCTCTCACTGAATTCAACTAACCTGATAGGATTTTCTCCAACTGTCCTTCCTCTCTAACCCTAAAACTACTGTCCTGTCACATCCTTCTCGAACCAAGGGGAGGTCTCTCTGCCTGTAGCCTGGGTCCTCTTCAAGTCATTCTTGATCTAACCCAAATACCAACCTGCCATTTCAATGCTTTCCCTTCTGGGACTCCTTAATCTTACAGAGAAGTTAAGAGCTTCCCCCCTCCTCCGCCCCTGCACAAATCCCAGCTTTCTGCTATGCTGCGCCACCCTTCCATCCTCCCTCCCCTCCCAGACACCCTGCACCTGGCCACAGACCTGTCCCTGCAGCACGCCTCAAGTCTGCCTACACCTGCTGCTCCTGCTCTGCAGTATGCCCCACGCCTCCCTTTTCCTACTCACCCTTCACCTGTCAGTTCAAATGCTCCCTCCTCTGCAAATCTTCCCCAGCCTTCTTCCTGTGCATCATTTCTGGATGATAGGACATAATGCTGTGACTGTTCATTTATGTGTGTGCCTCCAAAACCCGATCGTCAATACTTGAAGAGAAGAGACTGGATTTTGTTCAGTTTTGTTTTTCCAATGTTCTGCTTCATGCCTTCTAGGCCATAGCAGTCACTTGTTTTAAGTAGATGGCATATCTATTTTTAGATTACTTACGTAGTGTTTGCATTCGCATTACTTAGCTCTTCTTTTACTTCTCTTCTGGGGGTAGCAGTAAACAGGACAGGTATCCTGTCTGTTTTGAAATGTCCCCTGTGACTTACCCTATAATGTAGCACAGATTTAATCTTCCCAGATGACATCAATTCTGGCTAAATAAAATGCGGTGACCTTAGATCCTACTGTGTAATGCTAGGGCAGCCTTGATCTTTTTGCTTTTCTGATGGCAGCTCTGAGGCGGGGTGATTTTTCTCATTTCTTTGTACATCACTCATGATAAACTGGTGCTATTTACCTCAGCAGAAAAGGGTCCCTGAGGGGTATGGCGAGGGGCCCTGTCAATGTAGATTAGCCCCCTGAGTTTCCATCTCATGTCTCCCTGCACTGCTCCAGAGAAGTGTCATTCATGTGGAACTTCTCAGAACAGTGAATTCCAGGACAGGGTGGCACTGGCAGGATTATCCCAGAGTCTATAAGAGCTGTGGCTGCATCTTTTGGCCCAAGGACAAATTTGAGGTCTGCTGGTAAGTTAAGCATAGGGAAAACAACAGCTAGCTTTGAACTTAGAAAGTGTGGGCTCTCATTTAGGCAAGTCACCTAAATAGTCCAAATCGTAGGTCCCTTAGCTGTCAAATGACTAAGTCCCTGCTCGGCTATGCTCACAGGCTTGTCATTAGGATCAAATGAAATTATACATCTCAACAGCCCTTTCTAGTTTGCAGAGCTCTCTGAACATTCAACTCATTTAGTCCTCCTGCCCCCCGGCACTGGGAGCTGCACCTGCGTCTGTGATGCCCATCTCAACTCCACTAGGCTGAAGCGCCACCTGTCTGCAGAACAGAACTGCAGAGATGACTACCACAGACAGGAATGCATCTGTGACCACCTAGGGATGTCTATTCTGTCCCAGACGCTGCACTAGCACTTGACCTCATTTTCTTCACAACTACCATATAAGGTAGGTACTTTCCTCCCTTATATTTCAGAAAACTGAGACTGGAAGAGGTGAAGTGACTTGTCTGGGACCACAGAATCCTAAGCGGCAGGATGAAATTCCAACCGAGTTCTGCTTGACTTCAAAGTCTGTGTTCTTTCTACTTCCCCACCCTGCTGCTCAGAATCTAAAAAGTTCCTCTGCCCATATTCACCTGGGAGTACCTGCTCGTCTTCTGAGGTTCAGCTCATCTGTAATGCCATTCCTGAACCCCCACTTCTTCCCCACTGGTAGAACTGGCCTCTTCCTTCATTGTGTCTTTACTAGAGCTTACGAAGTTTATACTTTTAGTATCTGTAGCACCAATTAAACTTTTCTGATTAATCGTCTGTCTCTTGGATGAAACTTTGAACTCCTCAAGAGCAGGGACTGATTACCAGTCTCTGCTGCTTTGCACTGGGCTGATGCAGAATAAGTATTCCGGAAAGTTCTGCTGAATTTATGAAAGGAAATCAGCCTCCCGGGCTGGAGTATACATAGGAAACGCTCACTGCTAACAATCTTAGAGTGATGGTTCTCAAACATGGCTACACATCAGAATGGCCTGGAGAGCTTTAAAAATAGTCTTACCCATAATGATTGAAGGGCGTGGGCATCTATACCTTTGAGATCTCTCCAGGTGGCTTGGAGGCACAGCCAGATTTGGGAACCATGGCCTTCAAGCAGTTCTTTTTAAACTTTAATGTGCCACCTGGAGCCTTTGCTAAAACGCACATTTCAATTCCTAGTTCTGGGGTGCAGAACTTGTGAGTCCGCATTTCTAACAATTCCCAGAGCACACCAATGTTGCTTGTCTGTATTTTGAGCAGCAAGGCCTTAGAATACTCTACAAATAATCAATGTCTCAGAGCATGAGATGGAAGACAGCCTTCAGCGGAGGCCTCAGGCCTGGTTGTGTGGACAGGCAGCATTTCCTGGAAACGGACCATGTCTGATTCAATTCTGATGCCCAGTATCCTGAGTAGGGCTGGACAGAGAGTAAGATCACAATTTCATTTTCAGTTTGCTGTAGAAGTCTCTGAGGACCCACATTCTTTTCTAGTTCCTCAAACATAACTTTTGTCTCTCTGGAAGTGATGTAAAATCAAGAGGCCTTCAAGTACCATTCCTGAAGTTAATGAGCTGAAGCCAAGCTTCACTCTGCTCTCATTCTGGATGGTGTTTGGAATTTCCCAGTAGGAGCTGGAAGTCTAGGAGTCTGTAGGGACACACAGGCTCACTTGCTTCCAAGTGAGAATTCTCTTTGTCTCTAAGGAAGGTCTGCCTCATGCAAAGGAGTGTCCTTCAACCACAGCAGTTGGCAGCTCTGGCAGAACTTGATTCCCTGGTTCTCAGAACCTGTGGGAAGAGCTTGAGTGCTAGAGCCACACAGTCAAGGGTTAAAATACCAGTTCTACCATCCACTTGGCTAAGTGACCCTGGTCACATCACTTCCATAGCCTCAGTTTTCTTAAGCTGAGATTTGGGGACAGTCACACCTATTTCAAAGGATTATTTTGAGGACAAAATTGCATGAAGAATATAAACCTCTGAGCATAGCGCCTGTTCCACTAAAAAATAAAATACCCAGTAAATGGTAGCTTTTAAGCAGAGCTGGTCCCTTTAGAAACTTCTAGAAGATTTGGTGCATAATGGAAACACTAAATATGTCAGACTTTATTTTGTCCTGCTCAACCTATTTCCTGAGACAGTTAAGGGCTCTGAATTAATATAATATGTGTAGCTGGGTTTGATGGACACTTGAGTTCAAATGTACTTCTGAAGAAAAGGCTTTAAACATCTTCTGTGACCCTAGGGAAGAGCTCTGGGAAGAGGCAAAGATGCTGGTTTCCTGAAGGAGTCCATAGAGGAAGATGCCCCATGGATTATAGGTTTCTGTACTGAGCATGCCTGGCACAGCAGGCTGGCACTGAGGCTGGAAAAGCAAAAGGCAGACATGAGTCTGCTCCGGGGAAGCACACACACAGGCTAAAGTTGCCAGTCACGGGGCCAGACATATTACTGGGAGTGGCTGAGACAGTTAATGGAGGAAGAGACACAGCTCTATAATTTTTTAAATCCATCGCCAACATTTACTGATGGGGACACTGAAGCCCAGAGAGAGGAAGAGATTTGCCAATATCCAGGTAGCAGTTAACATCAGAGCTGAACCCAGGCTCTCTGTCTTCTGGTTGTCTTTAGAAAACTGCAAGGCAGAAAGTGATTCATTTTTTCCTTTCTACTTTGGTTCATCTTAGAAAATTTTTAGTGCCCAAGAAAACAATGAATTGATGAAGGGTTTAAAGTCATACCATGAATATATAAAAAGATCACTGAACATCCAGAAGCAAAATGTTTCCAAACCACAACTCTTTCAGTTTATAGATGAGACTGGAAACCAGAAACACCAGGTAACCAGCCCAAGGCCACATGGTGAATGTGTAGCAGGGCTGGACAGCACCTGGCCTCCTGACTCTTCCCAGCTATGTCCCCATGGGTCATGGCTGCGTCCCATGCAGCCGCCACCACTAACTGGATGTTTCAACATTAAATGCTAGGCTTTAATTCAAGACCTTCATGTGAAATGTACTTCTGTGTTTTCTGTACAACTGAAGTTGAAGGCATGGACCATTACATAGTTCAGTATCATCCATACAAAACTCATTGAAAATCTCAGATTTCAGTGTCAGGAAAAAAAATTTCTCTGGTGAGAAATGGGCAAGTTTTCAATTTCTGATACTATAAAGTATGAAAATAATTATGTTTTCTTATTTACACTGGCTGCCAGGAAGCTCAGAGCTTAATCTAATAAATAATCACATATATGTTTCCTCCTTTTTTCTTTTGTTACCAATTTCTATTTGATTTACTTTAATACATGTGTCTTTGGGTGTAAGAGGATTTAATTCCTTTTTGGGAAAGATGGAGACATCATCATTATCATATGATACGAATTGTTATGATAATAAATTATAATACTGTTAACTCTATAGGATGTTATCATTATTATTACCATTACTACTATTTCTGGAGCTCCTCCCTGTGCCTGAAAGTACTGAATAGTTTACAAACATCTTCTGTGATCATTACAACAACACTCCAAGGGAGATTTTATTAACCTTATGTTAGAAACTAAAGCTTAGAGAGATGAAGGCATTTTTTCAAGGCCACATAATTGGGGAACTTGAGTTTTCTCGTCTGTCTATTGGATGTAATCATGGATATCTACTTCACAGAGTGGTTTGGGGATAGAATGCTACAATCCATGTAAAGCACATAACCCTCTATCTGCTACAAAGTAAATGCTCTATACATGTTAATTATTAAATAATTATAATATTTACTACTTATATAATAAATATTATCTTAGAATAACACATACAATTATAGCACGAATAATGCAGCTACTTCTATCGAAAGAGATAGAATCATTATTGGATTCTGGGTCTGTCTGACTCTTTCCACCATCCCTAAGACTTTCTTTCATCCAAACTTAGCACCACTCCCATGCCACTTTGATCAGAGCCACAGTTAGAGAACTGAGAGCCACTTCTGTGGCCATGCAAGCCACACCTCCATCTGCCCATGGTTACTTTTCAAGTCATCACAATGTGTGTGAGGTCAGGAGACACCTGGGTGACTGCTGTCCAGGAGTCAGGTGAATGCCATAGTGACAGGTGATGCTGACAGGCAGACACTTCTCTTGGTGTACTTGACTAGACCCATTTCTGTTTACTGCATGTCGCTGTGAGTCTACATGACAAACCTACTCTGGGACAAAGTTCCTATTTGGGGATTGATCTCTGCAGTTGGTTCCAGGAGTCTGCTTTCTCCTTGATGGCAAGCCTTTTGGGTGGGGTTGCCTGGCATCCCTAAGCTGAGGCACCTTGAATGCCCACAGAAGTGTAAATGTGAAACCTGTCTTCTTCCAGATTGTTCACCTGATCAAGATGTTCTCAGGACTTCCTATCATGACCATCAAAGTTGCTCAATGCAGTTAGGATGACATCCTCATTTATTCTAAGGATAAGCAGGCTGTAGCACTCAAATTACTATTCCAAGGTTCAAATTCTTTCCCATATTACTTTTAGACTATCAAAGTAACTGCCTCACTTTGCAACAGATCCAAGGAGTTCAGGCTCCTGCCACGCATTGCTGCCATTATTAATGACTTCCTCCCATTGCAACTGATTGCCCCAATCAGTTCCAGTCACACAGGATTATTTTGCCATACAGCCATCTGAAATTGACACATGCAGCTTACCATACAGCATGCAACAAGGCAAGGGTGAGGCAGGAAATTCTCCACTGGTTGGCTTACCTATGTCTGAAATCTTTATTTCTGACAGAAGACAGGAGAGCAGGGAATAGAAGAAAGAATGAGGTGTTAGCAGCAGGGTTAGAAGCATTATTAGCAGCCTGAAAACTTGACAGCAATGGTGCTATATGATACTATAATAAATAAAGACTTAGCAGCTATGACACTGATGTATTTTATATTGGATATTACTTGTCAGTAAGTTCACTTACAAGCAGTACATATCACAGAAGAGGCATGGTTTCGCCTACACCACTACTGCTGACTTTGGGGGAAGAGGACTAGGTTGACACATTCTGCTGCTTGAACAAGGGCTAAGACAGGGATTGGAATGGTGGATTCTCTCCTCTGTATGGACACATACCCAGAGATACACAGGCTTACTGCTCTGCGTCTCCACGTGCACACTTCCCTACAAAGAGTTACCCAAACTTGGGTCACTTCCCAGGAGCCTCCTCATAAAAGAATACAGAATTGGAGATAGACTATAATTAGAAGGGAGGGTATGACACAGGAACAGTCCTAGGAAAAAAAGACTAGAAGAAAAAATATATCAAAATGATAATATACTTCTAAATTTATTTTTTTCTAATTTTACTTATATCTCCCTTCCTTACCCACTGTCATGATCTCCCCAACAACTACAGGAGGGAGGCAGGGAAAATGGGGTCTCTTATTGGAAAGAGGTGAAAACAGAGGTCCAGGGAGGTTCAGTGATTTGTCCAAAGTTGTACAGCTTCTCTGCCAAGGCGAGCTGATTTCCTCATCCACGGCGCTTTCTGTTGTGGTCCATATACGCAGTTGACTGACACAAATATGCTCAAAGGATCCTTCTTCCTTGACAGATGTCTGTGCCAGTCAGACTCATAATAGACAGAAGAAGGGCAGAGAATGTTCCACTGGTGGTCCTCTTCTCATTCAGCCGATAGCTGATTTCCTGTGAACCTACCGTGTGTGTGCTTGTCTGGCCCTGTGTGTGGGGCCGATACTAACCCTTCTCTTTAGGGCTTATGGCTGTTGGCCCTGCCTTCCTTTCACACGTGCGCTGCAGAGTGAGATTCTTGCAGCAGGACCTTACCTCCAGGGAGGAACTTAACAAGGCATTAAGTTGAAGCGGCCCTCATTGGGCCAGGTGACAAGGCTTTGGTGAGGCAGAGGTGTGTAATGATCTCTGGATTTGGGTCCACCATTTTAGAAGCTGGACCTCAGGCAGGTTCTTTAAATTCCCTAAGCCTCCATCTTTTCATTTACCAAAGGGGGATAATAATAAACGCCTTACAGAATTGTTATGCTTGGCAAATAGTAGGAACTCAGCAAAAGTGAGTTTTCTTTTCCCCTGCCCACTGTGGAGGAAGGCTTTCCAGCTCTAGGGCCTGTCCTGCTCACATGGACCCTGGCCCAGAAGACAGGCAGATTCCATTCCCTAAAAGAGTTGGGAGGGAACTTGGTGCAATTCCTCTTGAAAGGGAGTGTAAGGCTCCCTTATCTCTAAAGCACAGCTCTTCCATGACTCCTGAGCCCACCCTATGACAGTGCCCTGGTTCTAAAATGATCTAGGTTAGGGAGGCATAGAGAAAAATCCAACATATCATGTCCTTCCCTGAGCTATAAGCATGGCTGTGCTCCATCACTCAGGGTCAGGATGGGGAAAGAGGCTGACTCAGCTGCTTCTGCAGCACCTGAGGAGCAGAGAGGTCAGTTATCTCGATATTGGTCCGTTGAAGGGAACTGCCCTTGGGCTCGAGGGATCCTCCTGCCTCAACCTCCTGAGTAGCTAGGACTACAGGCAGGTGCCACCACACCCAGCTAATTTTTAAAATTATTTTTTGCAGAGATGGGGGTCTTGTCAGGTTGCACAAGCTGATCTCAAACTCCTGGCCTCAAGTGATCCTTCTGCTTTGGTCTTCCAAAGTGCTAGGATTACAGGTATGAGCAATGGCACCCAGCCCCTTGTTTTTATAAAAAAGGTTCATGTGACTCATTCTAATCAGTTTAGTTCTAGGAAACAGAAAGAAGATTCAGTGGCTTCCAAGGAGTCTAACGTTTGGCTGCTAGCAGCCGTCTACGTCACAGATGTACTCTGGATGCCGGGGACATCTCCCTGTCCTAGGTGGCTTGTCTTCACTGCAGTGCACTGGGGAAGCAGCAGCTGCTTGAGCTGGGAGGTGAAAAGTCCCAGAGTCTGATAGGTGAGGCTCTGTCCCATCCCTGGGCTCAGCAGGTAATGTGGTGGGGCCCAAAGGATGGCAAAGGGACGTTATTACAAACTATGAAGAAAGCATCACCTTACATACCTCAACTCTAGGATGTTGGTGACATTTCCAGAGGGGAAGATCCTTCTAATGTAGTTGAAATCACCCACATAGAGGCTCCCATCGGAGCCACAGGTGAGGGCCACTGGGGCCAGGAGCTTGTTGCCGTCAGCAAGGCCATTGCAGCTGGGGCAGGAGATGCTTCTCCGGCGTCCATTGCCCATGATGCTCCCGATGACAGGCGGCTGCTGAGACACAAACTGGTTCTCCCCATTCCCTTTGTGCAGGATGCCTGGGACGAGGAAAAACAGAATTGCCTATGGAGCAGGAAATGGGTATCTTTTCCCGTGGTTGACCACAGAGTCACCCTGATTTTGCAAGGCATGCAAGATCTCCATCGACCATTTCCAGGCTCATAGCCCAAGGCTTTGCCTCACCCCCTAATGGAACCCAGAGTGTCCTAAACAAGTCATACGGATTTAATTCACTCCAAAGCTCTGTAAGATAGGTACTATTATTATCCCTATTGTAACGGGGGACTGTCTAGGTAGCTTAACCGACCTTACCCAAGGTCACACAGACGGTAAGTGGAAGAGCTCCAGAGTCTGGGCCCTTAGCCATTCACCTATACTGCCTCTCAGGTAGGTTGTCCATATCTCCTGTACCCAGTCCATAGCTATAAGATAGCATGAATTATTTATCACACTTACCTGTTTTTCTCTTTCAACTGATACCATTTCAAGTGTGGAGACTATGTCTTTTTCCTTTCTGTATCCCCAGTGCTTAGCACAGAGCTTGATAGAGTAGATGCCAATGAATGTTTATAGAAATGAATGAGTGAAACTCACAGTCTCTTCTCACCAAAGGAGAGTCAAGAAGCGACAGGTTTTTACCTGGCTTTGTTATTAATGGGCTGATCCCAGCTCCTGTATAGGTCTCTTTACTGCTTTAACTGCCCCTAGGCCTGTTTCCCCACCAACAAAATGAGGGGATTAACCTCAATGACTCCAAAGTTTCTTCCTACATCTATCCTGTTTCTTTTTAGTCTGGATCCTCCTTTTCTTCCTGCACACTTCACAGCCTCCAAACTGGATCCTCTGCCCGCTGCCTCACCTCTTCCATACTGAAGCCCGAGTGAGCTGTGCTCTTACAGATAATCAGGATTGTCTCCCAAACTGTTACGTGTTAGCTTTGTCAAAGCTGTCCTTTGTTCAACGGATACCTTTACTTTTTATGTACTCTAATCAATCATTTTTCTACCTTAAAGTTTGTGCTTTGTTAGGTTTTAGGCAATCCTTTCCTGAGATTTTTATAAGTACTTTACTAATTTCTCCCTCTCCTCCTCTCCCCTCCCCTCCCCTCTCCTCCCCTCCCCTCCCTCTCTTTCTCTTTTTTCTTTTCTTTCTTTCTTTTTCTTTTAAATTGAGCCAGGGTCTCACTCTGTTGCCCAGGCTAGAGTGTAGTGGTATGTTCTCAGCTCACTGTAGCCTTGAACTCCTGGGCTCAAGTGATCCTCCCACTTCAGCCTCCTGAGTAGCAGGGACCACAAGCATGTGCCACCACACCCAGCTAATTTTTTTTAAAAAAATTATTTTAGTAGATATGGGGTCTCACTATGTTGCCCAGGTTAGTCTCAAACTCCTGGCCTCAAGCGATCCTCTCGCCTTGGCTTCCCAAAGTACTGGGATTATAGGCATGAGCCATGGTGCCTGGCCTTTTAAATATTTTCTTCCATCAAATTTAAAGTGTTATCTTTCACATTGAGATGTTTAAGAAAACATCTGAATTCATTTTGTATACAGTGTGAAGTGAGGACTTCATTTGTCTCTACATATTGAGCCAATTTTCCCAATACTAAGTTCTAAAACACCTATCCATTCTCCACTGATATGTGATGCTATCTCTGTCATGTTCCAAGTTCTTATATATACATGGTATGTGGCAAAAAATTCTCCTTGCCGACTGACATCCATCCTATCCACCCTTTCCTTCTTTTGCAGTTACAGAATCCCTGCTATTTAGTTGGGCACATGACTGCCTAGAACAGACCATGATCCCTGGCTCCAGGGCAGCCACATCCACAACTAGGTTCTTGCAATGGCATGTAAGTAGAAGTGATATGAGCAGCTGCTGGGAAGTGACCTTACAATGCAAGGGACTTGCTCTTCATCCTTGACCTCCTTCCTGCTGACTGGAAAGTGGATGTAAAGGCTGGACCTGAAGTGGTCCCCTTGGATCATGATTTTGGAGACGAAAGCCCGAGTGGAGCATAGAGAGAGGAGCCTGGGTCTCAGACCCTGCAGCCCTGGATTATCTGCCTCCAGACTTACAGAGTGGGAAGTGAAGTGAGTGAGAAGGAAACTTTATTTCCAATTCTGTTATTTTGGCTTTTCTGAAACTTGGGGCCAAAGCCTAGTTTTATTACTCTTCCCAGGTCAGTTTCTGAATGCGTTCTATTCCATGGAATCAATTTATCTGTTCCTGTGCCAGCACCACACAGTTTCAGATAATATGGTTTTTCTAGGATAGCTATAAATATAGATATTTGGTGAGTCCCTCTTCTTTGTTCTTAAAGGCTGCATTAGCTATTTGCAAGTCTGTATTCTATCATAAATTTTATAATTAGTTTGTCAATTTCCCCCAAAACAAGCTGTGGCTTTGATGGGCATTCACTGCCTTTTTAGATCAGGCAGGTGATATCTGACATCATTACCATATTTAGTTGTCCCATCCCAGCTCATGGTCAGAGTGAGTTATCTATAATACAGATCTGATGGTGCCACTCGCATTCTTTAGTCCCTGCAGAGGCTTGACATTTGCCTTGCATGTAGTTGAAAGTCCTAATCTTCTTACCCTGGGCTCCAGCTGCTCACACCCAAGCTCTGTCTCTTGCTGTTCCCTTCATGTCATTCTCTGCTTAAATCACAATGAACCTTCTCTCCAGTGACTCTTCTTTTAGGCTTCAGTGCCTTGGCACATACTATGCCCTCTGCCTAGAGTGTTCTCCCTACTTGATACACAGGGCTAATCCTATAGACCATCTGAGACTCAGTTCAGGAGTTCTTGCCAAAGGGACACATTGATGAACCAAGACGCCAGGTGAGGTGCTCTTCTTCTAGCCTTCATAGTGCCCTGTGATGTGGCGCAACATTGAAACTGCCTGGCGAGTATTTGTGTCTCACAGGCATAAAGTCTTGAGGCCATTCATTTCTACATCCCCAGTGCCTAGCACAGTGACAGGCTCAAAGGAAGTATCCAAGCAATATCTGTTGATTGAGTTCCCTGATCACATAGGAGCCTATGGGATTCAAAGTGCGAATTTTTTGTTTGGCAGGGCACAAGGGATATGAGACAAGGTTCCACCCCAGCCTGGTTCAAGTAATTCTATTAATCCACTTACCACTTTGAATGTTGAGGGCATGATGTTTGTCTAGGCTCCATCCTCCAAGCTTGGACGCATCAATTTCATAGCCCTGCAGCACTGCTGTTCTTTTTTCCCACAGGATTAGATCCGGGCAGGATTCATATTCATAACCCACAGACACTATAAGTGACAGAAGAGGCAAAATGCACAAGTGAGCTAAGCCACTCTTTGGCCTTTAGACCTGTAGGCAAGGCCCCTGGCTTATCTTTTGTAGAAGAGGAAAAAAGGATCATATTTCTAAGTGGCAACCAGAACTATGTGAAATACTAACACAAGATTGCTGAGCCTTAACAATTTTTTCTTTTTTTTTTTGGAAGAGCAATTTTACATTTGAGGAAAAGTTAAAATAAATGTACCAATTACATTAAAAGGATCTAGGTGAATCCCTTCCAAGGAAATAATCTTTAGTATGTGATAGGGTTTGTTTCTGTGTTCCCAACCCAAATCTCAGGTTTAATTGTAATCCCCAGTGTTGGAGGTGGGGCCTGGTGGGAGGTGATCGGATCATGGGGTGGATGCTCATGAATGGCTCGGCACCATCCTCTTTGTGCTGTTCTCATGATGGTGAGTGAGTTCTCCCGAGATCTGGATATTTAAAAGTATGTAGCACCTCCTCCCACCAACCCAGGTCCTGCTCCTGCCATGTAAGACGGCTGCTCCCGCTTTGCGTATTGCCATGAGTCAAAGCTCCCTGAGGCCTCCCCGGAAGCAGATGCTGCCAGGCTTCCTGTACAGCCTGCAGAACCATGAGCCAATTCAACCTTTTTTCTTATGAATTACCCAGTCTCAGGTATTTATAACAATATGAGAATGGACTAATATAGTATGGAAGATACTTTGTGCATAAAAGTCTTCACCACAACATTATTTATAATATTGGAAAATTAGGTGTAATCTAAAGGTTCAAGAGGGGTGAGAGGGTGAGCAAACCCAAGTGTATCCACTGTAGGAATACTATGAAGCCACCAGAAGTCACAGTGAAGAAGATTATGTGGTGACCTGGGAAATGCTTATGGAGCAATGCTCAGTTGAAAAGACTGTTTATATATGGTATTTCTGCGTTAAAAGAAATTACAGGCCGGGCGCGGTGGCTCATGCCTGTAATCCCAGCACTTTGGAAGGCTGAGGCAGGCGGATCACGAGGTCAGGAGATCGAGACCATCCTGGCTAACACGGTGAAACTTCGTCTCTACTAAAAATACAAAAATTAGTTGGGCGTGGTGGTGGGCGCCTGTAGTCCCAGCTACTTGGGAGGCTGAGGCAGGAGAATCACTTGAACCCAGGAGGTGGAGGTTGCAGTGAGCTGAGACTGCACCATTGCACTCCAGCCTGGGCGACAGAGCGAGACTCTGTCTCAAAAAAAATAAATAAATAAAAAGAAATTACACATGAAAAAAGAAAACTAGTATTTGTTTACATGATCACATATGACTTTTTTCTATTTTTGTCCATTTTTCAAATTTTTATTAATGACTATGGTGTTTTTTAAATTAGGAAAAATATTTAAAATCATTTATAATGAATATATAGAAAAGGAACTTAGTTGGATTACTTTTAAAAAGCTGGAAGTTGCTTTGAGGTTTCAAAGCTTGGAAATCCCCTGGAATTACTTGTTTCATAAATCCAGGACCCCTTAGAAGGTCACTGGGATGAAGGCTAAACATGACAGCCTCCCTGACCCTGGGTGTATAAAAAGCCCTGTAACTGGACTATGGAAAGGAACCAGCAGAGACAGGAATGTTATTTCTTCCAAGCGTCTTTCTGGGCAGGCACTATTTTCCAGTGGACAGTATCTTACTACATGCTCGAGACAGGAATTAACAATTGAGCAGCTCCTTAAAGTTTCTTGTAGATGCCACAAAAGACTGCCGACCATTTATGGCAACAGGGCATTGGGCTGGAAGACATCCCTGTGACCCCTTCCCCATGGCCTTGAGTTCGTTAAGCAGCCACTATGCCTCTTACTGGTCACTTGTGATCTTAGGAAAGTGACTCCAACCCAGTCACTTCCCTTTTTCACTGACTGGTGGGCACTAGAAGTGCTCATTTTATCTCAAGAGGTTATAAGGCCTCATTTTAAAAAAGATGACAGAAGTGGCTTGATCTACAGAAGGGATCATAAACAGTGAGAGATGGCACCTTTGCTCCCACTGTGCCCTTGTTGAGTAGGATGGGATGCGAACCCATAGGAAAGATCTGGAATAAATCCAACTCTGTTCCTTCCTAGCCGTGCGTCACTGAGAAGTCATCTCACTTCTCTGGGCCTCAACTTCATGCAGAATTTGGGGGTGACAATTTTTGACTCACAGAGTATAAGGATTAACTGAGATGCTAATGTACAGGGGCGCACATTGCCCACAGCAGGTGCTCAAGCAACATTCTTTCATTTCCTTCCCACCCTCTCCTTCTCTTTTCCCCCTCTCCCTCCCTCCCTTCCTTGCTTCTCCTCCTTCCCTCCTTCCTCCCTCTTTCCTTCTTCCTTCCCTGCCTCTGTTCCTCCTTCCCTCCCCCTCTTCTTCTTTCTCCTTCCCTCTCTTCCTTTCTAAATAACATTACTTCTCTGCTTCCTCATTCTGCCTTTGCTGAATCTCTGCCTTTTCTGGACCTAAGGGAATGAAATTGGAATGGGGTTCAAGATGAGAAGGGATTTGCTGGACGGTTACTCTTAAGTGCTTGGTGGATCAGCTCTGCAGGGTTAGACCTGCTAAGAGTCCAGCTCTGAGCCCTTCCTGGGACCTCCTCTAATCTGGAAGCAGAAATGCATACAGCCAGCCCCTGGAAGCCCAAGTGCCAAGTGAGGCTGGGACTCCAGGTGAGGTTACAGCCAACTTCTGTTTCATCTTACAAAGAGACAGCAATAACAACAACAAAGAGGTGACCTCTCTGACTGGGTAAAGAGGCCAAAAAGCATTTCTGATGGAGGAAGAATCTTAGTTATTGCACCTCAAAAAAAAAAAAAAAAGAAACAATTTTTTAGCTTTCCTATTTTAATGGGTAAGTTCCCACAGGATGGCTGTGGGGTGGCCAGGCAATGTCCACCTGGTCCTGCCTTTGTGGCACATGCCCTCTTTTAGCCCCTTACAAGCCAGTACGGCACTCTCCAGGGCCCTTTGGTTCTGTAGCCTTATTGTAGTGGTCGAGTTTTCCACACTCAGGTCTTTCAGTACATTCTTTTAGGTCTTGGCCAGTCACGAACAGGTCTTAAAGGTCAATTAAGCCTTAGGTACTTTTGATCTGAGAAGAGGAAGGAAGGAAAAAGGAACCAAGGGGGTAGAAAGAGTGCCCCCTGCAAGTGCTATTCTCTGAGTCCTGCAGCTGGGAGGCTTACCAAAGGCTTCTGAGAGCCCAAACACCTTCTGGTTGTAGACGTCTGTCTTGTCCCAAATGAAATAATAGGACAGGTCTGGGGCTGCAGCAAACCACTTCCTGAAGAGGCGGCCCTCCACCGCTACCATGAGGTGCACCTTCATGAGGTTGAAGGGGATGGTCGGGTGGGTGAGGCTGATCCTCAGGACAGATTTGTAGCCAGGGGTCCGGCTGCTCAGGTAGCTCAGCCTCATCTTGCAGCCAGCGATAGAGATTTCCTCCTGCAAAGCCTAGAAAGCAGAGGCAGATCACAGCAAGGGATGGTCATCAACTCACCCGGTGGAGGAAAGATGGCGTGGCCCCATGGACTCTGGGTGTTTAGGAGGTAGAGGGAAAGGCAGGAGAGAGCAGGGGGAAAAAAAGAGGAGACAGTGGAAAGAAGAGGGGAAGCAGAGGGTGAAGAGAAGCAGGAGGAGGAGGAGGAAGGGAAAAACATAAACAAGATGGAAGAAAGATTGGGGAGGGGTAAAACATGTCAGAGGACCTGGTTTCTGGGGCCAGTTTTCATGTGGTGACCTTGCAAAAGTCACCTCACCTCGCCAAGCCTCAGCCTCCTGCTCTGTACAACAGGGATGACAGCACTCATTTCATTGCAGTTTTGAGAGGAACACATAGGATATGCATATAAAATACTTAGATCACATTGCTACTAGTTCATGAGCTGTGTTATCCTAGAAAGCTCACGGAAACTTTGAATCTCAGTCTCCTCCCTGGCTTTGTGTGAGGACTGAGAAAGGTCACATAGGTAAAGTGCCTAGCACAGGAATGTTGTTAGGTGGCATGCAGTGCTGCTGCTGCTGCTGGTGGTGCTGGCAGCAGGGATGTCATGAAGAAAGACTGCTGTGGCCAGATGCCTAAGCAGGAAGGATGGTTTCTTTCTCAAAACTTTCTTCAAATGAGATCTGTTCCAAATGACTTTCATTTTCAGGAAATTAAACAGAGACTACGAGATATTGACCAAACAAATAATTATGCAGAGTTGAGACCACAGCCTGGCAGGACCTGTGGTTCACAGCCCCAGCTCATCCACAGAGAGAGGCTGGACTGCCTGCATAGAGCTTCTGGCCACTCTGGGCCCCAGCTGCAGTGCCAGATGAACTGAGTGGGGAAGGCTGTGACCTGGGGAATGCTCAGGTCACTTAGCTACTGGGTGCAATGAGTCCAGTTCTAAGTTGGAAAGTTTAAATGAATGCCAGCATGCCCAGGCAGACAGCAAAAGCAGACAACTTTATCAGCTTGATGCTCTGGGCTCTGTTTCAAGATAGGAACATTAAATCGATTGAGGCTAATATATCTATTCAAGGGACAATGGCTATTCTACCCTATGTTTACAGTGGATGTGGGCCTTTTTCATCCTGTCCATTTCATAGACAAGTGTGAACGCTTACCCTCACCTCATTCTCCTGAACACAGGACATTTTAGGGATTGGGTTTAAACCAAGGCAATCTTCCTAAACTATAGCTTACAAGTTCAAGGCAAAGCAGGACTCATACCCTGGTGAGCCCCTGGCATGACTGAAGTGCCATCCTGATGCTCTGAAAAATATTTACCTTCTTTTTTTTTTTTGAGGCGGAGTTTCGCTCTGTCGCCCAGGCTGGAGTGCAGTGGCCGGATCTCAGCTCACTGCAAGCTCCGCCTCCCGGGTTCACGCCATTCTCCTGCCTCAGCCTCCCGAGTAGCTGGGACTATAGGCGCCTGCCACCTCGCCCGGCTAGATTTTTGTATTTTTTAGTAGAGACGGGGTTTCACCGGGTTAGCCAGGATGGTCTTGATCTCCTGACCTCGTGATCCGCCCGTCTCGGCCTCCCAAAGTGCTGGGATTACAGGCTTGAGCCACCGCGCCCGGCCAAAATATTTACCTTCTTTAACATACCCTTTAAAATTCATATCTCCCAGCACTTGCAAAGGCTAACCTATGAGAGGACTGGGAAAATCCAAGAGTTTGTTTATGTGTATTTTATGAATCTGATAATAAGCAAGGTTTTTGCCCTAACTGAATGTGCAGGCACCCAGCTCAGGGAGCACTGTAAAGAGGGTGCGACCTTTAACCCCATTTGTTCCAGAGTCCCTGCTCCTGGGAAAAATGTTTAGCTGGAGCTGAGCCAGGGTTGAGTAACAAATTACTTCTCTCCAGCAAGCTCTGTCTCCACTGACAACCATTTCATAAGAAAGGTCAGCCTGGTAGTTGAGATGGGAGACAGGCGCTGAATCTCTGAAAAGGAGGTTTCAACCTGTGAGTGCAATGCGAATTTCGGAATGATTGTATGTCCTTCTTGTTGGCTGGCATCAGAAGCCACTGAACAGGGTATGCACGGAAAGGTGTTTGCTCAGCCAGGCATGAAACAGACACACAAAAATGTATAAACTCCCTGCTCCACCAGCACCCGCAATCTATTAATAGGCACATCGCCTGAGTTCTCCTCGGGCAGGTGAGACAGCCAGGACTTCTCCTGGGCTTCTGCACTGACATCTCTCCTCTTCCTCAGGCCTTCGCTGCTGCCGTTAGAAACTGGGCTGGGGACAGCGAAGGAAATTCAACTAGCGGAGCTTTGTTAGGCGAAAATATCTATCTTGATTTCCATCAGATTAAAATGCATCTTTCCCAATTACCTTCTTTTAATGACAGTTAAGTAAAGCAGTTGTATATATAGATTTGAGCCAAGGCCTTAATTGGCGTGAAGGTGGCGTGTGTTAAATAATCTTAATAATAACAGCTAAAATTTATTGAGTACTTATTAGGTGACAGACATTGTGCTAAGCACCTCATATATATTTTTCTCATTTAATCTTTATTATAATGCTCACTGTTCGGGATCCTTTGGCTCCTTCCTCTTGATAGGACCATTTATTTTAAATATTTTTAACAGAAATAATGAGAGAGGAACACAGGATGCTGGGGAAAAGGAAAGTAGGCAGAAGTGAACTAACCAGGAGAGTGGAAAGACAGAGAGAATTTAGTATAAGCCAGAGTGTGCTAGGCAGTTCCAGGTGCTCAAGTGTTTTCTGTCTGTAAGAGGGGTGCCCCTCATGCCCTTACACCATGCCCGTTGTGGGGTTTGGTGGCTGGATTTTGCATAACAGGCTGATAGGACCTGACCCAAGCCCTACAGAGGTGTTTTCTCTCTTTCCACTGTCTCTGAGATCCTCTTCCACTCCCAGAATGAAATAAAAGTGTGGTGGAATGCAGTTAGGAAAGCTGGGTACCTGAATTTCTGGCACAATGGGGCCTTTCTCTGCACAGGAGCTGGCGAAGGATGTCAGTGGGGATGGAGAGACGACAGGGTTGGGGCGGGCAAAATTGCTCAGATCACAGCTGGGAATCTCATTCTCCTCATGTCTCATGATGATGGTTTCCATGACAAAGAAGCGATCCCATGGCAGCCAGAGGGTGTGCTCCTGTGTGATGAAAGGTGCCCGCTCGAACCGCAGGATGATGGAGATGCCGCCATTTGTCACCAAGTCAAAGCTGTTTGGGAGGGGAAGGTTGAGAAGGGATGGGGAGCAGAAAGAGCAGGAACCAGGATGAGAAAGAGAGAGACCAAGAAAGGAGAGAAAATTACACCAAAGGGTCTGAGCATTTGTTGAGGGAGGCTCTAATGCCTAAAGATTTGACTGCAGCTCCAAATGGCAGTGATTTTAGAAAGCAGGTTTTTTTCCCCCCATAAAATGATTCACATAGAGAATTTGCTGAAAGGAACCACTGCTGTGGAGAGTCATTTTCGAGGATACACAAGAGCTGACAGTGGTGCTGCTGGTACTTAGGGCCTTTCAACTGTGTCAGAGCTGAAGCCCAGTGAAAAGTCAGGGAACGAAGCAGAACAAGCCTTGATCTGGGTGTTAGGGCCTGGTCCTGGCTCTGCCTCCAACTACTGTGTGGTCTTGGATAAGTCACTTAGCCTCTTTGATCCTCTTTTTTTTCATCTGTAAAATTCAAAGGCTCAAACAGATTATTCTTAAGTCTCTAAGATTCTATGACTCCACAGCAATTTTAGCTCTAATTGTGATAGATTACTCAACAACGGCCTTTGCAATTACAAAATAGCTAAGCAGTTTAAAGATGGCTCAGTTAGAATCACAGTACCTTACAAGTGAAAGGGGAACCAGAAGACTGAGTGCCAGCCTCCTAGTTGAGATGAGATCACTGTGACAGTGTCTGGAGAGCTGGAGCCCAGCCTCTGTTCATCAGCCTTTGAGGATGCTGGGGAGGTCTGAGGACAAACCTGCCTTCCTAGCCCTAGTTCTGTCATCAATGTCACACCAAATAGGTCTGCTCTATGATGGTCTTCACGCCTTCCCTGATCCTAGATGACGCCCTGCTAAGCCCTTCTTTTTTCAGGCTCGTGGGGATTGTACAGGCAGAGTCTTCCTTGCCTCACCCCAGAATATCTTGTGCCCAAACAGGACCTAGCCAGAAACATACTGGCAGTTCTGTTTGGTGCTGGCATCTTAACTCCAATCACCTGCAGACAAACCTAGCAAGGCACTTTCCCATCCAAGCCTTGGCATGCACTTTTACTTTAGAACATCAAAGAAAACTGAGTTCCTCCCTAGCTGTACACCCAATGTTTCTGACACTGCCCAGCCCCACCAGGAACCTGATTTGAGGGTTCTGCAGCCACATGTTTAGAAATCAGATGGACTCAGATTATAGACAATGGGAAAAGAGGGCCACATGTGAACCAAGGCACATCACTAATCCTGTAGGCTGGCTCTGCTGAAGTAAAAACAGGGCATAGCGTGGCTGCTACTTAAAGCCCCATCATGCAATAAGACATAAGACTAGGCCAGGCACGGTGGTTCACACCTGTAATTCCAGCACTTTGGGAGGCTGAGGAGGGTGGATCACCTGAGGTCAGGAGTTTGAGACCAGCCTGGTCAACATGATAAAACTCCGTCTCTACTAAAAACAAAAAAACTGGCCAGGAATGATGGTGGGCACCTGTAATCCCAGCTACTTGGGAAGCTGAGGCAGGAGAATGACTTGAACCTGGGAGGCAGAGGTTGCAGTGAGTTGAGATTATACCACTGCACTCCAGCCTGGGTGACAGAGTGAAACCTGTCTCCAAAAAGTCAGAATTCCGGATACAACAATAGATATAAGACTAGAATTTTGTGTCCTTTCCCTTCTTAAAACAGAAAGTTTAAATCAAGTAATAGGTGAACCACTGGAGAGGAATTTAATGGTCATCTGACCTAGTCTCCCTCCCATTTGATGCATCAGTTTCTTCTGTAGAACCACCATCAAAGGCCCATTCAGTTCCTACTTACACAGTTCTAGAGATGAGGAGATTGCTATATCCACAGGAGGACTGTTCTGTTTTAGGTTAGTTCTGACTGTTAGAACTTTTTTTTTTTTTTTTTTTTAACTGAGTGTGAGTCCCTCTCTTTCCAGCTTCTTATTCACTGGGCCTGATTTCTATCTGCTGGGGTGACTTCAAACTAGTCCGTTCCTTCTATCACAACCTGGCTGTAGTAGGCATTTTCAAGGCCTGTCTTCATTGGCTTTTTTGGATGGAGAACTCCTAACTATCAAACTGGTAGCTCAAACTTCACCTCCTCCACACAGCCTTAGTCAGTCAGAATTCCGGCTTCCACCTTGGGTTCCACCGCCCCACATGCATGGCATTGCACTGTGATTGCTTGTTGAGCTCTCTGGCCCAGGGACATTGAGTCCTCTGTCTTTTCAGAAACTAGCCCAGTGCTTGGTGGTTAAAAGTTGATGGAATAAATGCATGAGTGACAGCATCAACTGCTCCTGAACTGACATCTACTAAACACCCTACATCCCTTCTCACTTTGGCTGTTACTGCAGTTAAATCTAAGGTTCACCTGGGCAGTTGGTGTGAGAGACCTCAGTGCAGGGTCTGATTTTGACCCTGATAAATCCACCATGGGGGAATGGGCCCATTCCTGCAGCTTGCTCTTCTCTCCTCCAGAGACTGCAAGGATTCTGCATGGAACCATCCTGTCCTAGTGTCAAGTTCTGCTCTTGGTAGATGGCATCCCCAGATCTGGGGCTCCAAGCTCCACAGCCTGACTCTTCCGCCCTTTGCAGGAGCTAGCACCCCTTTGCCTGTTCCGCATTCACTTAGGTGAAGTTGGGCCTGACCATCATTCAGTGATAGAGAAACACCTGGGGTGGGGTTTATTTTGAATCAAGAATTCAGGTTTTGGCTCTCTAGGAGAGTACCCATGAATTTGGGGAAATACTCAAAGAACAATTTTTCTGTCACAGAACTGAATAGCATCTGTGCCTTGATAGAACATTTTTAACTGTCAAACAGAATTTCAGCCAGCCTTATAAACTCCCTTCATGAGAGGCTGTATATGAGGAGGGAGGAAAGACAAACATGAAAAGACATATTCCCAAGGCAGTGAGCAAGCAGAGGGCAGCTGGCCTTGCCAAGAGCAAGTAATGAGCTGGGGCTAGGCCCGCTTCTCTGGAGGGGAAACCCTGCTTTGGATATGAATGTGAATGTGACCCCAAAGGGAAGGCCTGGGTGTCATATGAAGCCCAAACAGTGCAGGGCCATTCTGAACACTACTACTTGTTCCATGGCTGAATTATATCACCTTTCCAAGCCTCAGTTTTCTCATTTGTAAAAAGAAGCTGATGATCATAATCATTTGGCAGGGTTATTGATTATACTGATGGGATAATAGATGGGAAAAGCACAGGGCCTCACACATTCCCTTGTCTTGGCCCCTACCTCTCCCCTCCCCTCCTCTCCTTTCCTTTCTTCCTTTCCCCCTTTCTCTCTTTCCTTTCCCCTTTTCTTCCTTCCTCTCTTTTCTCTTTCTTTCTGTTTTTTGAGACAGGGTTTCACTCTGTCACTCAGGCTGGAGAGCAGGAGTACAGTGGGGCAATCATGGCTCACTGAAGCCTTGACCTCCCTGGGCTCAAGCGATCCTCCCACCTCAGCCTCCTGGGTTGCTGGGACTACAGGTGCATGCCACCACACCCAGCTAATTTTTGTATATTTTTTTGATAGAGACATGGTTTTGCCATGTTGCCTAGGCTGATCTTGAACGCCCAGGCTGGTCTTGAACTCCTGTGCTCAAGTGATCCTTCCACCATGGCCTCCCAAAGTGCTGAGATTACAGATGTGAGCCACTGCGCCTGGCCCCCAATTTTCAATTCAACGAACCTAATCTGCATCTCTTGTGTGTTATTCTTTTAGTTTGTTTTCATGGCCTCTATTTTCCTTTTTTAAAAATGATCTCTTTGGCTAACTTCTCTGTTACTGTTTTCTGTTTGTAAGCTCCTGTAAAGGTGTGAAGTCTGGGATTTCAGCAAGTGTGTGTGTGTGTGTGTGTGTGTGTGTGCACGCACACACGTGCGCGTGTGTGTAGGGCTGGGGGAGCTGAATGAGGGCAAGTATCATGTTGCCTTCCTGGAAAGTGAAGAACACAGGGTCCCTGGACTTTCAGTCCACTTGCGCACACTGTTATTTCCAGACTCTATCTCTTAGTCTTACGGTTTTTCCTAAGGCGTGAGAGGTAAGAAAGAAGGTGAGTTAAGGAAGGGTGGGAGGGCAGTGATATCTGTTCACATATAACAGAGATTTTTGGATACTAAGAGAACAAGTGATAACAAGTGATAACTTTCCCATACATTAGGCTGAATTGGGAAGAAAATTTAAGCCCCAAAATGCACTGGTAAGAACTGATCTGAAACTCAAGCTCTATTGCAGCAATTCTGGTTACTGTGATGTAATTTAGGAGGCTGATGCAGGAAACATGGCTGATATTTAGCTCCATGCTCTCAGTGGGCAGTAGAAATTGCAGAGGAAGCACAAACAGGAGGAATCGGGAGGTGTCAGAGTGAGCTTTCCCCAAAGGCCACTGAACTTATGCCAGACTTGGTGTGTTTTTTGAATCTACTCTAACCGACCACAACAGGGCATAAGGACTGATGATTTGCCATCTCACAGGAGTGACTGGCAAGTTTCATGGCAAAAAAATAAAAAATAAAAAGGCAGTCCTGAAAGGCTCCTTTTGGATGAATGTTTCACAGCAGGTAATAATGTGGTCAGAATACCTGTTGCCTAGGAGGCTCACATCTGCCACTTTCATACAGCAGGCAGCATCCTTCATGCTGTAGCGGGTGTCTTCATGAGGGCCTTCCTGGGTTGGAAGGTGTACAGGGTAGGGAACAGTGGCCTGGCCTGGCCAATTTATCCCTGAGGACTGGCCACTAACGTCTTCCAGCTGGGCCTCTTCCTTTTCACATGGAGTGAGAGGCAGGGAGGGGGCACCCCATGCCAAGCTTGCCAACCCCATCTAAGAGGCACACATGTCTACAAACAGATGAGCCTCTACTTCATTATCACCTCGGCCGGGACATGTTCACATCTGATATTGGATTAAAGAGGTGCTAAAATCAATCAAGCTGGAGCATAATTTCCAACACAGAGTGAAAATCAACCTTATGGGCCCACGCTTAGCCAGATGGACTGCCACCACCTGGTTTTATTAAAAATAGAGGACTTGTCATCACTGACAGCCTAAATATTCTACTTTCCTCCTTCTCTTTTCCTTTTCTCCAAAATATTCTCATTGCCTCTCCTGTCACCATCACCTTCTCCTTCAATAATCTGTAATTTTAACAAAAAGGTAATATTCATTGTATACTCATTATGTGCCAGACACTGGAAATACAGCAATGAATCAAAGTGTGGTGGGGAACTAAGATTTATTAAACACATACTGTGTGCCAGGTGCTTCCTCATCCACCATATCATCTAACCCTCAAAACCAATCTGTGAAATAAACAGCATTAGGACCATTTAACAGATGAAGCCAAGACACAGAGAGGTAAGGAGAGTTATCCTAGGACACACAGCAGGTGGGAGAGCTAGGGCCATTAAGGAAGCTTTACGTCATTCTGATGATGGTTCTTGGAGGAATTCAAAGGTCAGAATTCTGTCATCACCCAAACGGCTTGCACAGATCTAGGCAGCTGCAGGATGGAAACCACACAACAGGAATGGCTGAGATTTCTCAAGCTGTCTGTTCTGTAGAAAGTGGTTCACATGACTGTTTTATATCATAAGTCATGGAACAGGATATGTATAAGGTACGCTCTCCTTACTCGGAGAACCAAATGAGAAGAAACTGCTAAATCTAGAGTCAAAGGGACACAGGCCAGAGTCAGGTACAAGGTCATACAATAAGTAAGTTGCAGAGCTGCGCATTTAAATTCAGGCCCTCTGAGTCCAAGACCCATCCTCTTTCCACATTATCAGTCCAGCAGCAGCTATATGGCCAGACCACAGAAGCAGGACCTTCACTGTTTCTGACTCACAGAAGGTCTCCTACCTGCCATCTTGCCTGCTGATTGTATATCCAAAGATAGGGTTATTGACAAAACTGATGTTCACACCAACCAGGGGGGTTCCATCTGATGTCATCACTTGGCCACGAATAACACAAGCATGCCTGTGGGAAGAGAAGAGAGCACAAACATGATACACCTTTCATGATCAGAGCCCTGGCTGGCAGGGAACCCCGAGAGGCCAGAAGACAGAAAATCAGTCACTGAGATACATCTTGTACCCAGTGGCTCATGGTACTCACTCAAGATACATAATAATCTTTAAAAGAAATGTCACCTCAATTTAGGGCATCAAAGTGTCCTTGAGAGAATTGCTATTGGGAGGTGATTCAATGTTCTCACTTGGAGGTTATTTTCTAAGGATATTATTTTATGCTGTAAGGAGATAAAGCTGATCACAGAGGGCAATATCACCTAGTTCTGTGTGTGGATGTGTAGTTCAATGATCTGGGTTCAAATCCTCGCTCTGTCACGTCCTAGCTCTCTGAACTTCCGTAGGCATGTGCCAGTTCTTTGAGTCTTTGTTTTTTCATGCTGGTATAGGGTAAGCTCCACAAATGGCAATGGCTATTACAGCTACTAACAGTCTCATTGGAAGTGAACATACAAACAAGTGAGCAGGATGGAAGGTACTTCCTTTCATCTGACATTCAAGATAGGAGGACAGATGTTAGCATGCTCTCGGAGTGAGTTTTGGAACCTGACACCTCTCCCAATATCCCTCCTCCCACTCTTACTCTATATTTTGCATAAGAAATTACCTGCTTTTCCCAAACTTGCCAGGCGAATGTTACTTAGTGCCTCTGTCTGTGCAATGTTCTTCCATCTGCCTAAAATGTCATTCCTGCACTCCTCTCCCAACATGCTCGCCCTTAAAGACCCAACTATTAATGACACCTCTTCCTTGAAGCCTTTCTTGATACCCCTAATCAGAACTAGTTCCTCTCTCCCACAAAACCTGAGGCAGACACCTTGATACTTTACCAAAGCATACACGCACCTCCCTTCCACTAGATCCTGAGCTCTTTGAGGACAGCGTGAAGATTTCTTTCTTTCTCCTCACAGTGCCTGAACTATGTCGAACAAATCCTAGGTTGCCATTGAAAACATGATGGTTGAACAAATAAATGGGACAATTAGAGATCATCTAGAATGGTGGCTTTTCAAATATTCAGAAACAGAAATGTTTGGGTAAATGACATTTTATAAGGACTCCAAAGCGGAAAACGAATGAAAAGATCTACCCTGGATGAAGTTGGGGTGGAGGCCTCCTCTCCCTTGGGGTGATTCTGAGGGCAACTCTGTGGAGTCTCCATGTCTGGAGAAGTCAGTTAGAAGATCCCTAAGTTAGTGGAACTTTCTCATTGTATGGAAGAGGAAACCGGTTTCCAGAGAGGTTATATTGTGTGCCCAAAGCTCCACAGAGAGCAGGTGACAGAGGCAGGACTTGAACCTGGGCCTCACTACTCCGGGTCCAACTCTAACCAATCACTTGCCACTGGCCATGGGTGGAATTGAAGGCACTGGCTGGTCCAACATCCTCAGGGATTCGCACACTGGGGAGAAAGCCCTCGCTGAAAGGCATCTGAGACAAAAACGCAGGCGCTGTGCACCACATAACCTTCTCTATTCACCTCAGGTGAGAAGGCTTTTTCTTCTGGCCTAGGGAAGAGCTAGTGATGAGGCCCATGGGCGTTCATTAAAAAAAGATCTCAAATTCAGTCCCTGCCATATGAGGTACCCACACCTCTACCTTCCTAGAGTGATAAACTTTTCTCTGTTGGATGAGAAAAGCAATTAACACCAGGCTTGTAAAGCAGCTGGTCTCACTAGTGTCAGCTTGTCCTTTCTGAAGGCAAGAACAACTACCCACAATGCACCAGACTCCCCACCCCACCCCACCCTCCTCACCTCACTCCATACAATCTGGTTAATGCTAATTCAGTCAGTGGTTTCCTTCCGAGGCCCTTGGTCTAAATGCAATTACATGGCAAACAAGTTAAGCGGGTGAGGCTCAGCAAAGACTTTCAATTCTGCTCTGAAGGTCTTCCAATGTATTTATGTGAAATTATCTCTCCACTAATGGGGAAGATTTATTCCACCGATTGTATTCAGCTGGTTCTGAGAGATGTTTTCTTTAATGGAGGACAATTGAATTTCGTATTGCTGGAACTCTGTCCTTCCAGAGAATTACTAACAGATCTCATCTCCTGATGCTGGCCACCATCCAGCCTTCTCCAGACATATGTGCCTCTGGATTCTGCCTGGACAGTAACCAGCCCTGGGGGGATGGCTTCCTTTCTGGGGCTGTCCTGGCTGCTGCCCCTCATACACATGCAGGCCAGCCTCCTCTGATGGATCTCTCTTTGGGGATTTCCTGATAATTGGGAAACATTGAATCGGCACCATTTGGCTACCACGTAGCCTCCAACTCAGCAAGCCAGAGCAGATGCAAGTTCAGCTCGGGCTCCCGCGGATTGCTTTTGGATTCTGGGGAAGATTAGGTAGACTCCCTGGACACTGATAGGCCATAGAGGCCTCTTGCCAACACAGGCATTTGGCTCAGGAATTAAGTCCTGGAGAAAAACACTTCCATCCCCGTTCTGTTTTCATGATTTTCAGTTGTCAGGAAAGCCCGGATTAATATAAAGCCTTCCCTGGAACAAAGGAGATGGGAAGTCAGCTCGGCGGGGGCCTCCGAATTGTGTCTTGTGCCACATGCATTTGTACTGGGAGGTTTGAAAAGATGCGAGTGCTGGGCTTCCCAATGCTTGCTTTCTGCATCCATTTATTTAATAGATACTATCAGTGGTGTGCTGGCAAGTGTTTAATGACCGACTTTCAAAAAAAAAAGAAAGAAAGAAAAAGAAAAGAAAAGCAGCTTCAACTGTAGCATTTGCTCATTTCTGTGGTGTAAATACTCTCATTCTGGCTGTTTTCAAGCTACCAAAGAGATGCCACTGAACACAGAGGTGGCAAGAGACACACAGGAGGATGCCATTATGCAGTACTGCCACTGTGGAGATGCGATGGTCCTGAGTAACTCGAGAGCAAACGTAACATCAAACACGGCAAAATGATTAGAAAGTAATAAGTTTTGAGTATTTATTACCTTTGCTTTTAACATACCTTATTTAATTTTACATAATTTAATTTTTAATAATGGCTGTGTTTAACAACCAGTTTGCTGAATTTCTGAACATTTAATAACCAGTTCTTGTGAACTGGTTCAAACTGGCTTCTGCATACCACTGGAACACTGACCCTACACTGAGGGTTGGGCACTCGCTCAGTGGTGGAGATGTGGCTAGAAATAGTTGCTGCTTTGAATGTAGAACTCTGCAATGGAAGACTGCCTTAGTGAAAAACCATTAACGTGGGAGCAAATCACTGCCACCAACTTGGCTTTCCAGCTAGCTCATATGATCCTCTATTACCAGTCCTCTATTTGACATGATTTGCTTCCTCATGGTCGCTGTCTTGGTGTAATGGAGTTTTGGGCTGTTATTTTCTACTCATCCTTAAGAGTCTCATCTAAGCTGTCACCACCTCAGTAAGGTTGTCATCAACTTTTCCTGACACAATGAATCACCCCCTCCTTTGGGCTTTTATACACCTTATAAGTATCTCTCTAATATTTGATGGTCATATTATATCATTTGCATTTGTATAGCCATCTCACATGTTTACGTGTGAGCCAGAGGAGGGCTGGACCACATCTCCAGAGAGGGTAAGCATGGGATGCTGCTCTCAGAGTGTTTGTGAAGTGAAAAACAATCAAGTAACTGGAATAGAGAAAAAGACTTGCTGAAGGTCATCCAGAAAGGAATTCACTTGGCTGAGCTGACACTAAAGCTAGGTCTTCTTACTTCTGAGGCCTCACTCTTACTACTGTGTTATGTACCTGCAGTCACTAAAATTCCTTTAATTTCATGAAAAATCGGGCACCTACTATGAGTCAGGCTCTGTGTTAGGTGCTAAGTTCCAGAAATGTATGAATTACGGTCTCCACTTACTTGCTAGAGCTCACAAAAGCCAACATGAAATGCCCCCGTGTAGTTGTCTCTGACACCAGTGAGTCAACACATGGGTTTGGCATATGTCAGGCAGCTGGGATATAAAACAAGCAATTAGGCTAGGTGAACTCTGCCAGGAGGGAGTGCCACTGCCAAGCCAAGGGTGGTGTCAGACATACTGGCATGAGTCCAACCACACACTCAGGGCCTGACTGAGGTGCCCTTGCTGACGCCAACAGGGGAGAAGATCTGCCTGACTGCTTCTTGAGGAGAGTGACAAGGTTTGGGATCAACAGAAGAATCTGCTGGAGACACAAAACCGCTCCAAAACAAAATCAAGCAAATAAAAAGCCAACCTCAACTGTTGCTCAGGGAAAAGTGGTAGGGCTGTGGTGGCGAGAGCACTGGGCTGGGAGTCATAGTTCCCAGTTCTGACTCTGGGAACTAACTGTATGATTTTGGAGTCATTTGACCTCTCTGAACCTCCCTTCTGTCATCTGTCAAATGCAGGCTGAAGTTTTTCCCAACTGGTATAAAATAGAATTCAACATACGTTTAAGAATTTATAACTGTTTTAATCTCGTACTACCCAATCCAGCTAAAGCAGCCCTACTACACGTGGCGTCAGAATCTTAATGGAGCTCATGCAATGCTTATACTTATCGCTAAATTGTTCCCTCTATCTGGAAACTTCCACCTCTCCTAGAGCATTCACCAAGCAGTAAACACCACTCCTGCTCCTTCCGGGCTACTCCTCATGAGCTCTGAGTGCTGTTGCTCTGCCAGGACAATCTTTTCCCCAGCAGAACATGAGCTCCTTGAAGACAGGGACCAACCACATGTCTCTCACTGCTATATTCCCAGCATTGATCATGGTTGATGGCCATTTCTGAGTGGGGAAAAGAAAACCTCCTCCAAAACAGGTGTTTGCTCTGGAATTTGAACGCAGGGCACAGAGTAAGTTCTTGATAAATTATTTACACAATGAATAAAGAGCTTATGCGCTTCTGTTACTTAAGGTGAGGACGATGTTAGAGAACTTTGAGCTACTTGACCTTGACAGGGATATGGTTAGAGAACCCAGGGCT